CTGTATTGTAATGCAATAACTGTTTTGTGGTGGGATTTTTCTGCTTGTCTGCATCACCATATGGATGACTTCAATTCCACAGCAACATATACTGTGATATGAATTTGACAACTGGGATAATGGAAAAAGTCAATGTTTACTTATTGGCAGAAAAAAATGTTACCTTGCCTGCCAACTGGGGCAATAAAATAAATTTGTTTTGTATGCTGTGTGGAATTTTTTAATGCCACTAAATGAAAACAAAAGAATCAGGATCTCTCCTTGGGAGTTCACAGACAGAACGGGTACAGATACAGCAAAAGTAACAGATTGAGAGAACTGAGAAAAAGAACTCAGCCTGAGCTCCTCTTCTCCCACTCCTCCTCTTCAGCATCATTCAGCTTCCTGTTTTTAAAGCAAAATGGAATTGTTCTCATGACTAACCAGCACAATCCTTCCAAAACTGTTAAATAACAGCATTTTTGGCAGAAGTTACTACACATCTAGATTATGTAAGCAAAATACAGATATTCCATGAGGTACTGTAGTTGCGTTTCCACACACCAATTCGGCCTTTAACTGACACTTCGTTCTGAATCTACAAAGAGCAACTGTAAATCAGTTTAGCTACAGTGAAGCAGGACTGTAAATGCAGATTGCTGAAACAGGCATAAACCTCAGCAGTTTCTAGAGAGTCAAAATGAAAAAAACACTTCCAAACCCAAAGGGGCTTTGGATTTCCATCAATCAGCTTGCATTTCATACATCATTGGCACAACCGCAATTGCATTTCAAGAGAGTTCAAGGGAATGTCATTTTGTCTCACTGACACCATCTTAAAACACTCACAGCACAAGGGATACGCTTGTGTCTTGGACTGTGAAAAACTATAAATATAATTTGTAAAAAGAAGTAATCCTGGACAATTTGTGTATCTTAGTTTTTGATGACAGTATGACATTTATTACTTCAATGAAAATGGCACTGCAACTTGGGGATTGCCTGCCGTAGGACAGCTTAGAGGAAAAGGCATGCAAGGAGTGATAAGCAACAAGGGGTTCAGAAAGGAATGTGCCACTCAAGCAAAATCAAGATTTGTCTTCAGTACTTTTACACATTGTAACTCGAGTCTCAGCCCCTCTCTGGCTCCTTGCAAGGAGCAGACAAGTACAGGGCACTGCCAACTTTACACCTTCTCTGGACTTTACAGAGGTTTGCTGAAGGTGCAGGAGCATGGAATTGGCATGATACCACACATCATCCACTCTTTTGCCCATAGTGTTGACTTACAGCACTTTAGAGGTTCTCCACACCAACTTCCCAAACTGCTTTGATATAAACTGACTCAAAACCACAGCAGAAAGAAACTGTTTATCTCCCCTCTCATCTCAGCTGCACCAAGTGCAGCAAGGATTGAGCTCTTTAGGAATATAAAACGTTGGCACATCTGCAAAGGTTTACATAGTATTACATAGATTTTAAGAAGCAGAAAAAATGCTTCACATGTGGATTAATAGTTCTCCACCATCCCAGCAAAATATTAATAGTGGGACTGTAGACACTTAGCAGAGAAAGTGGTGTTCTTTAAAAAGTAGTCTGACAAATCTTTACTTTTCAAACCACTGTATTAATTAATAATTTAGTAGTGAGCAAAATACATAAATTTCATAGTGATGACATTGCAGACCACAATAAAATACACAAGGAGAAACACAGCAGACAACAGAAATGTGAAGCAAGTAGATGTAGAAAAGATACAACTGAGGTGGCTTCAATTGTAACAGACAGGTACAAAATAATAGGCATAAAGAAAGCCATCAGTGGAATGAATAGGTTGTGTCCATGTCAAAAACAGAAACACAAAAAATGATGTTTAAATAATACTTGTTCTGACTGGAATAGGAGCTGGTAATATGGGCTGATAGCCACCTAGGGAACATTTTAGAAGGTATATTACTAGAACTGATCCCCTTACTGTAATCTATTCAACTGGATACTCCTTCATGCTCGTTATTCCCTTAGTCTAATAAGGTGCAATGCATTTCATTATTTGGTTACTATCTTTGGCACTGTCTGACATTCATTTGATTGCCATGATTACTCCATAACTCATGGACTGTAAAATAAAATCTTTCATTCACAAGCACATTTTCTCAGTCCATCTGCAGCTGCAGTGAAACTCACAAGCCTATCTATACACAGCCAGAGACTTCCTTTTTACTAAGTACAGCCTTCCCAAGGTGTTGCCTTTCTTACAAAGCTGCACACAGTCAGAGTAGCTTTGCGTGAACTCTTTAGATCCCATCAGAGCACAAGCCTGCTTTCTTTTTTTAGGTCATGTTCTAACAGAAACTGACAGGAATTTGGCCTCAATAGCTTCCACAGGATCAAGGTCTGGTTCAGTAAAGGATTAAGGCTATTGTTGCTGAGCACACACTGCCAGTAAGAGACCTTTCCTTTCTCTATTCTCTATTCTTTGACTCAGCCTCACACAGAACTATCTAAATAGAACATAGGTCACCAGGTAAATGCTTGTCCTTGGATGCAAACATATCACATTTGTTAAAACCAGTGCAAATTTTGGGTAGACTTTTCTGAACTTTTAGAAAATAATAGGTGATTTAACAAAATGCATTTCTTTGTAGGCATACATACATACATAGTTTGTACTAATTGGGAGTGGGGCTGCAGCCCAGCCTCATCCCCAATGGGCTACAGCTGTGAAAAGCACGTGAGCAGCATTGAAAGCAATGGAGTGCCCAGGTGCACTGACCAATCACCAAAGGGAACAGAGGGCACACAGGTGCAATGCATGAACATGAGGGGCTAAAAGGTTGGGCTAAAGAACAAGAAGGGCAGACCCTTGCAGCCTTCTGAGCGGATATGATGTTATGCTGTATGGGTAGACACTTGAAACTGTCTGATGTGGTATGGTGTTACTCTGTATGTGTGAATGTTAAAGCTTTCTGAAATTGTATGGTGGTACTCTGTGTATTGTGTCTGCAACCTTTTTTTATATTCCTGATTACACTTAGAATTTAGTATTTTTAGAGTTGTCATCTCTTATGTTTTCTGATGCTTGTGGTTTCCCTAGGTTTAAAAATCAAAAAGACCAGCCAAAGAGTAGCTTTAGTTTTAACAAACCCTTGGGTAGACAGTCTGCACCTTGGAGCATTTAGTTTTCCATTTAGGTGCAATGAGTACCTAGACACACAGTCCCTTTCCCTATCTAAATACCATTCCAGCCTAAATGATGTGTGGATTATTGTTTCCCATCCTGCTTTATTAAAATATGAATACAGCAGGCTTCTCAATTGACAACAGCAGGCAGCACACATCTCCTCCCTGCACCTCACTTACAGGAGCAGCTCAGCTTTGGGGTAGTCTGACCCCCCAAAATTATGCCTGGGTCTTGCTCATGTCCCTCTCCACATATGGGTGACTGCCAAAACAGCCAAACCTCTGCAGCCACCCAAGCATGGCTGGGCAATGCACAGAAGCACGAGGCACATGCTTGACTATCAAGCCACCTAAATTTTCAGGCAAAAAATAAGCTGCAGTTTCTCTGAGCTGCAGAATATGCTCCTGGAAAGGTCAGCAACTCTTTGTACCTCCTGCTGAATCCACTATCTGGCCTTATCAGTGGGAACAAGGGCAACTGCAACCTGCCTTCACATTAGTCAAGCATAATAGAGCTGTGCAAGCTCGTCTTCCCCAGCACTGCCACCAGGAACAATGAATCCCAAGGAAGCGTGCCTGCCTACTTTTTCTGATCAGAAAGCTCCAGGGAACACACACAACTGAGGCTCCCCCTCATTTCTGGTGTATTTGGTTTGTGTGGCAAGGTTTTGGTACTGGCAGGGGCTTGGGGAGGGGGCTACAGTGAGAAGCTTCCAGAAGGCTCCCCTGTGTCTGACAGAGCCAGTGTCAGACAGCTGCAGGATGGACCCAAGGTTCAGCCTGTCAGTGACAGGGGTAGTGCCTGTGGGACAACAGATTTAAGAAGGGGAAAAAATCTGCACAACAATTTCATTTGAAGAGTGGATTGGAGTGAGAGCAACTCTGCAGACCCCAAGACCAATGAAGGAGGATGAGGAGCTGCTCCAGGCACTGAACAGAGATCCCCCTGCAGCCCCTGGTGCAGACCATGGTGAGGAGCTGTGTCCCTGCAGCCCAGGGAGGTCCTGGGGGAGCAGAGATCCACCCCAGCCCATGCAGGACCCCAGGCAGAGCAGGTGGGTGCCCAAAGGAGGCTGTGACCCTGTGGGGAGCCCCTGCTGGATCAGGCTCCTGTAAGGATCTGTGGCCCCAAAGAGAGAGGAGCCCACACCAGAGCAGGGTTGCTGGCAGGACTTGTGACCCTGAGGGGGCACCCACTGGAGCAGGCTGTTCCTGAAGAACTGCATCCCAAAAAAACCAAGAGTGGGAAGCCAAAAATCAGCTTGGAAAAAAGGAAGGCAAGGGTAGTGGTTTTAGATTTGGCTTTGTGTCTCATGATCCTGCTCTGATTTGACTGGTATTAAATTCATTTTCCCACGTCAAGATTGCTTTGCCCATGACAGCAATTCGTGAGTGATCTCATCCAGTCCTGATCTCGACCCACGAGCCTCTCGTTGTACAGCCCCTCCCCTGCCCAGCTGCGGAGGGCAGTGCCAGGGCAGCTTTAGAGGGCGCCTGGCGTCCAGCCACGGTCAGCCTGCCAGAAGGCGGCACGACTTGGGCGGGGGGACGGGAAAGGGACCCCATGTATGGAGGCGGGGCCCTCCCGACCGCCTGGCACCTTCCCCCACAGGGCACAGGCCGGGCCCTTCCACTTCCACTCAGAGCGGGTGCGGCCGGGGCCGCCATGACGCCGCCATGGCACCGCCGCGGGCCGGGGCGCGGCCTCACGCGCCCGGCCCCGCCCCTGGCCCCGCCCCCGCCGCGGCGTCGTCACAGTGGCGCGTTCAGCCGCCCTGGCCCGCGCGTGACGTCGGCGCGTCCCGCGGTCCCGGCGGCGGGGCCGGAGGGAGCGGCAGGTGGCGGCGGGCGGAGCGCAGCGGGCCCGAGCGGAGCCAAGCCGAGCGCCGCGGGCCGGCCCGGCGGGTGAGTCCCCGCGCCGCCGCGGGCGCGCCCGAGCTGGAGCGGTCGGGGGGAGGCGGTAGCGGCGGCAGCAGCGGAGGTCTCGGGCACCAAAGGCCGCTCCGACAGCGCCCCCTGCACGGCCGCCCGGGGCCGAGGCGGTGCTGCCTCCCCTCGCCCCTCCGCCGCCGGCCGAGCTGGAGCGGGCGCCGCGGCCTTCCCGCGCGGGTGAGTGCCCTGAACAAAAGGCTGGCTGAGCTGGGCTGAGCCGAGCGGAGCGAGGGGCGGCCGCCCGGCGGGCAGAGCCCTGCCCGGTATTGTTTTGGCGGCGGGGCGGGTGGGGGGTGTTGCCCGGCGCCGCCCCGCCCGCGGGGTCACGTGCCGGGTGTCGGGGCCGCGGAGCCCCGTCGGGAGCCCTTCCCAAGGCCCCGCTCCGAGAGGCTGGCAGGGAGAGCCGGGACCGCCGGCAGAGCCTCCCGGTCCCTCCTGCCGGCCAGGCCCCCTTCCGCGGAGCCGTGTCTCTGTAGGAGGCGGCGCCCCGACGGCGGTGCGGAGCGAGGTGCGCGCAGAGTGCCTGACCGGGCCCGGGCTTAGGCTGGACTCCATAGCCGGAGGTGTCTTCCAACCGTATCGGTTCTGTGAGTCGGGGGTTTCGTTGTGCTGGGCAGTAAAATAGGTCAGGAGCATGAGCCGTGGCGGCGTCACGCGTGGCGGAATGCCCTGGCCGAGCCGACGCAGCGCTCCAGTTCCCGGGGCGATGTGCAGCGCTCCGGTGTGTGTGCCTTGGCCCCTCGGTGTCCCCGCTGTGCCCGGCCGGCCTCGGTCACTGCCGCCGGCGGCGTCAGCGCAGCGGCTCGGGCGGGCACGGGAGCGCGGCGCGGAGCACCGGACAGAAGTAGCTCTGGGTTCCTGATGGAAGTGCTTTTGTTTCTTTGTGCTTGACCGCCTCTCCTCAAGTGTTTGCTTTGCATCCTTTCGGAATGTTGGAAGGGGACGTGAAATGTTGAAAGCGGGTCCCGCTTTCGGCGCGGTACGTGTTGCCGCCACTGAAAAACATTAACTGAATATGAGGGTTTTATACGAATAAGACGATCGGAATGGTAAAATAGTTAAACTGAAACTGTGGGGGATTTTAATCTTAGTACAGCTTTTCAGTGATATGCCTGAGAAACGCTGTAGGTTTTGTTAGTGGGGTGTATTATGCAGTTATGTATTAGCAATTACAAGGAGGTGTAGGGAGCAGAGCTTTAAAACGTTTTGCCTCTGTCAGGTTTGTAATACTAAAAATCCGATCCTTCTTGCTTTGTTAGCTGCTGCATCTGGATGGTGAGCTACTCAAAAATAGATTCTGAAACATCTCTAGACATGCGGTACCAAAAATTACAGCGTGAAATAGTATTGAAGACATGCTGAAATCTGAATCTTCATTTGGTAATTTTAAATAAATCTTAAATATTGAACGTTTTTGCAAGAACTTGCTTTATAGTCTTGTGTGTTTAATAGTGTAGTTTTTTTCTAAGTCTGATGAAGTGCCAGTTGTTTAAATTGCTATAATACAAAGTCTGTGGTAAGTGAAAAAAAAAGTTTGTTCTTGTTTCCTTCAAAATATATTGCATCAATTTAGATGTAATTGAATTGTCATTTATTTAAAGAGCTGGAACTGCAGTATTTTTATAGCTTATTGAGTAGTGAGCCCCTGGAAAAGTCTTCATATTGAAATTGATTTTTTTTCCTCTCTTCTGTGCATGTTAATCAAGTCTTTATATATACATGAAGAGATGACCCTTCATTTATTTGAGTTTCTGAAGCATTGATAACTTAACATGAACCGGTTTCTGCTTCATTTTTGCACACTTTTGCTTTTGAGTGAGAAATTAACATTTTTCTTAGTTAAATAGATTGAAACAGGATATATGCTCAAAATTCAAGGTCAGTGCTCCAGTTGTAGCATAGGGAACAACTTCATTTTCAGTATATGTAGCATTTTAATACTGAAATGGCTGACTGTTCTGCACTTGACTATTCTTCTATGATTCAATTCCAAGTGTAGATATAAATGTTGGGGTTTACTAATATGCAGTAGCCCGTGATAAAGAATGACAGGTAACCTGAAGCCTCATCACAACCAGCAATTTCTGAGAATATTCTGAGTTTAAGAAACAGGTAGAAAAAAGTAGGCAAGCAGGGGAAACAGTGAAGTTACTTATCTGTTGTGCTATCTAGTACCAGGGACAGTTTTAAACATATCTGATGAGACTCAATACCTTGAGCTGGTAGTGTATTGACAGTAGCAGGCCATCAGACAGGAGAGTGATTTTTTCTTATTAGATAAAACAGCTGCCTTCTTTCTTCCCACACTGTCTGGCTCATGGTTACTTGTGGGGAAGGGCAGAATTCCGGGGATCATTTTCCCCTCCTACCCACCAAATGAGTCAAAAATTGGGGAGCTTGGTGGAAAAAAAATCCAAGTGTTTAATTACAGAAGAGCATTTATTCTTGTGAAAGAATGCGGTTACTCTGCTGAGTTTTCAAGGGAGGAATTGATAAATTTGTGAGAGCTGTTTTAAAATAATGTGTATGGAGTTGCAGTATTCCTAGATTTCTATTATTTGAAGTAGGACGCGATAATAGGCTGATGTTTGTTGAATTCACCAGTGTTGCACTTGTGTGTTTTTAGAAAGCTAAGATTTTACTTAGAGAGAAAGCTTAAGACTATGGGTAACTCTTCCTCAATATGTAGGAGCTGGCTTCCTAAATATGTATGCTTCTGATTTTGGTTTCATTGGGTTGGTTAGTTGTTAGTTGGGGTGAGGGTTTGTAATTGTTGATTTATTTTTTTTTTTCCTAAAGGAATAAGGGTGGAAAAATTGTGCTGTTGCTGATAATTTACTGCGTCTCATAATTTAACGAGCACAGTTGGCTGAACTGACTAGAAATGGTTTCATTCTATCTTGACCTAGTAAAAGCTTAATATTGTTCTTAAGGAGAGCCTGAAGTAATTTTGGGAGATAGGTCTGGTAGGAAGTCCACCACTTCAAATTCTTAAAGCGTGGAAGAAGTGGACATGACTCTTCCCAGTAAGCCTCCTGAGAGACTTTCAAGGGGACAAAGAGAACAGTTCCATGCTGGCTGAGCCTCAGTTTGGATGGGGATGGTCCTGACCAGTGACACTGTCCTTCTGTCTGTTGAATCTTTAAAGTTTCAAAATCGGTATGTGGTAGGATGCAGGGGTTTAGGAAGGGATTGCTGCAGATAGCATAACTTCTCATAGTACAGGAAAAAGAGAAAATTAATTGCTTAGTATAGAAAACAGCTCTTGCCCAGGTGACTTTAAAGGAGGAGTCATCATCCAAAAAGGGGCGTGTGTGTAACCACAAGGGTTTGTCTGTCCACTTAGTAGAATTTTCAGTACTGGCTTATTAAATAAGTAGCAATGACATGAAATATAGAGGTTATTTGATGTCAGTGTGTAAACTAGTTCTTTTCAAGACCTTTGCTGCAGTTGGAAGGTTGCCTTATCACAATCCTGTAATTATGCCTTTCTTGGATTCTTCTAGGTATAGTTACATATCTTGAATGTGTGTATGCATTTTTATTTACTAAGAAATCTCTGGGAACTGACCCAACCTTTTTCTGCCATCTCCACATAGCATTTGGTTTTATGATGTGCTACCTCTTGTAGTGCATTCATTATGAGAGGGAGCAGATAAAAGGCTTCAGGTGATACCTATTGAAGTAACAGAAAGCCAGCTCCAAGATGAAGGACTGAATACCACACCCAGAACATCAAGCTTGTTGCAGCTGTCTCTTTGATCATAGAAAATATAGTATCTTGTCTAAGTGGATTAGTAGAGCCACAATTCTAACACAATTGCTGCTCTTGGTTTCAGATTGATGTGTGAAGAAAGGAAATCTGCTAGAACTATGAGGGGAGAAAAGGTGTGGATAGGCTTGTTAATTTTTGCATTTTTCCTTTGGAGCTCATTCTAAAAATAGCTATACAAAATGTTACATGGAGCTCAGCTATAAAGAAAATAACATATTTGAGTAATGCTTCATGCACTGAAGTCATCTGAACATTCTGATATTAATGATAAATATTTGATCATTTGATAAAGGGCTATAGCACAGAACACTGTAGTGCTCCATCTTTCAGGGACTTATCACTTCCTGACTTTACTTGACTCTTACATGTCTGCTCTGCACTGTATTTATGCTGAAATGATTCTTTCCTTGAACACATTGAAATCAAAGAGGTGACATTCTCAGGTCTACTTCAAATCATTCCTATATATAATGTTCTGCAGCAACTGGAAACTGTAGTTCAAGATGTTTGACAATCACCCAGAAAGCTACAGACCAAAAGGAAGAGGTGATTCTGTAGCTCATCTGTCTTTTTACAGAAGATTTGCTACAGGTGGTTCTCTTAGGTCAAGACTTTGATGATTAGGTTGTGAGAATGCAAGAGTGATGGTCTCTCTTCCCCTTCTGATTGCAGTAATGGTCTCTCTTCCCCTTCTGCAGTTTGCAGATTCCTGCTGTAGGAACTTCTAAGGTATTTGTTAGGCACTTAGTGATTATTAGGTTTGTGTGAAGTGGTTGGTGGCATTCACCAAATACATGACTGACATCATCTGCTAGCCTGAAGAGGGGTGTATTACCTCTGAGGTGTGGAGGCTGAGTTGCATCCTTGTCCTCTTTTTTAGAAACTCTTTGCATTGTTGAACCTTGGAGCCCATCAGGACATTTTAAAGAAATTGAGGAAGGTCCTAATTAATTTTTGCTGTTTATTTACCTTGGATAAATTTACCTGTATTTACCTCAAATACAGGTCATAGAGAGTTTGTTTATAAGCTTGTAGGCTTATAAAGAAGAAAGTGCTGAATGTTCTGAGGTTCGTTCATTAATGATGCAATGATCTCTGTAAAAGAGGATGAGGATTCAAAGCTCTGAGCCTTGAAATACGAAGAGGCAAATTTCTGATTGAAATATGGGGGAGAATTGGGAGAAATCAGCTGTTTGTGCACACTGCTTTTCCTTAAGCATCTGATACTAGTCTGTGTCAGGATAACACACAGAGCTAGATGGTCCTTTTGGATGGTATCAAACAGAGAGTTTTATAAAAAGCTTTAGGAAGCCATTGTGACTTTCTAAATTTCCTAAATATAAGGGATCATTTATTAGAGGTTAAATTTGCATAAATGTAACATGCTCCAAACTTTGGTCTTTTACTCCTTTTGTGAGGTCACTATTTGGAAATGAGCAATTAACTTACTGTAGTAAAAAATAATTTCCTTTTATAATGCTTAAAAAAAAGATGATTTTTTTGAGACAGACAGGAAAATAAAAACTGTAGATCAAAGTTGTTGGTTACAAAAACTTAAACAGAAGTCCAGTGATAGTTTTATTGAAAATAACATACAGCAGGTAAATAAAAGCATTGTAATTTCCTTTTTGTAACAGAACCGTGGCATTGTACTTTGCTTGCTTGTATCTCTGGACAACATTGTAATGGTGCTATTGTTTGCTTTCTGTTAGTTTGCAGGGAAGCTGAAACGCTGTAGTGTACCACTGAGCAGGACAAGTCAGGAATGAGCCAGCCTTGGGAAGGAGCACCTGCCATCCTAGCTGGAAACGTCTGAAGAGAGGACATTTCAGTCTTCATGCTTCAGTAGAAATTACTAAGAAAAAGTAAGCTGTTGTTTTGTTAAGGAACTTAAACATGTCAGCTCCTTGATGGACTGCTTAGTTGGAGTTACAATTTGACCTGGATTTGAAGTGGTTTTGTGGGAATTTACATTTTCTTCCATTAGAGTCCAAGAAGGCCTGGGGTCTTTTCATGTAATTGTTACACATCACCTCTTCCATACTTCATGTATTGATGAAGGACCCAAAGCTTAGAAATTACCTGTATTATTTAATATTGCCAGTAAAAACCACAAGAGGTGGGATCTTGTAAGATTTTGGCCTAATTCCATACTGTTTCCGTCGGTTTTAGGCTGTACTTGTTAAAATGCAGAGTTCAGGTTCTTTTTGGTCCCTTATTTATACCTGAATTGAGGATCTAAATACTTAAAATAAAACTATTTTTAGAATTATTCCTTGTGTTTAGTTAATTCTTAGTCAAGTAGTCAGTAATCAAGAATGTGATTTTCTACGATGCCAGGAGGGTTTTAAAGGGAACCCAATCCCCCCAAAAATAGAGCTTTCTTATTTGATAACAGTTCTGATATAAAACCTGTTTTGATTGAACCTTGTTACAAAATACTACTTTTAGTTTCAGGTAAAATACTTTGTGGTCAGTTTTGTTTAGTTCTTAGTACCGTGAAGTTGCAGTGGAAGTGCTTCCACAGCCATAACATAGCAGAATAGCAGTCCGAGATGTTCGTCCTCGGTTCTGAAGGATACCTCTTCAGTAAAAACCTACATGTATGTCCCTTACCAGCTTGTAAACAAACCCCATGACCTAGATTTGGTATTAAGAAGGTAAATTGAAAAAAAAATAGCATCATGCTTTAAAAACAAAAAGTGAGACAGAATCCGTGTAGTTGATATAAATCTTCAAGTGCATAATTGTCCTGCATTCTGAGCACATGCAACTGCAGTTGTGCAGAGTTTTATGTTCCTGCATAGCACTTTTAGAGATAAGGGTTTGCTCCTCCAGCTCTATTCATTTTATACATAACATTTTCCTTAGAATCATTAAAAATCAAATAGGAATTTCGAGAAAAAGCATTTACTCATTTTCATATCCTGCATTATTATCTTGATCTAGTAAGGGACCCCAAAGATCCCTCAAATTAATGGGTGACCTATTGAGCACAGTTCAAATGTTAGCATTTTTTGCTTTCAGTAAACAGGTGACAACTTTTAATCCTTCTTTTAGTTTACCTCAGGGTAAACTCTTTAGTTTAGCTCATGGTATCACAATTTGGTTTGTCAAAGTGCATTGCCTTTTTGATCCCTTTATTGCATTTTAATCACCTCCAAAATCTTAATTATGTAAGTGACTTGTGTAGAAGTTACTTACCTACAGGTTGTTTTAATCTTTTCTCTCACTCTGAAAAGGATAATTTTATAAAGCATATTCAGGGAGAAGCATCCTTTTGTAAAACTGTAGCATGGAAGTCAAAAGCTCTGCTGCTGTGCTTTTTTGCATTCTACTCTCATTGTGGGGGCACTTGTAAATTAAGATCCTTTCTCTCAGCCATGGTTAGCAAAAATCAATCAATAAATGGATTTCTCTTTCAGCTCTTCTTTTGTGAAATGATGGTTGGGTTGTGTTTGTGGTATTCTGAAATCTCAACAGACTTCGTTCTCCCTTTTTCTAATAAGTTTCTTGGTATAAACCCCAACATTTGCTATGAAAATCTGTTGTAAAATACATCCTCAGAAGGGTGCAGCTTCCAAAAAGCAACTTGTTCACAACATTGTTAGAATGGATCTCACAGATGTGTGTGTGCAGTAAAATCACAGTTGCCAGCTGGTAGGTAATGCTGTGTGTGTATCTGGCATGCTGATTTAAGAACTGTTATGCAGATTGGTCATTAATCTCAGAAAAAGAAATTCAGATATGAAACTGAAACGTAGATGGATACAATTTTGTGCTGCTTCAGGAAAAAAGTATTTGAGCTGTAGAGCTTTTAAAATAATTATTTGATAAAAAAGGGATTAAAGAGGCATTGGTCTTTGAAGAGGAAATTTTAGTGATAGAAGGAAAAAGCATACAGAAAAATGTTTTAAGTAAATAGCACATGATATATTGTTGTAAAGATAAATATAGATACTGAGGCATAGGTTTTTGTTTAATCCCAGCATATATCAGTGGAAGCTTTTACAGTAATACTAGGCATTTTCTCTTGAGGTTACACATTTTGTTAGAAATGTGTATAACATTAGAACAGGCTGTCCAGGGAGCCTGTGGTATTTCCATCCTTGCAGATTTCAAAAAACCCAGCTAGACAAAGCCACAGCTGGTCTCATCTAGCATTGGTGTTGGTGCCATGTGGAGCAGCAGACTGGACTAGGTGACTCTAAAGGTCCCTTTTGGCCCACATGCTTGTGGTAATTTTGCATGAACTATTCCTAGCTAGCTGCCCATACAACAAAGACTACTTCCACTGAAAGGCTGTTTTGTTGAATATCAGTCTTGAAGTTTCTTGGGGATTTTAAATTAAAAAAGGCACCTTTTTAGGCCCCATTCCCCAAAGCCTATTCTCCCCCCTCATTTGGTATCTGGTATTTGGTTTTGATTGTTAATAAATAAAAGAAAAATGACCATGAAACAGACCGTGAAAGATTGCCATGGCAAAAATGTAGTGGAGAAGGCATTTGCATATTTAGGCTAGAACTTTTCAACTGCTTAAATCCTACACAGTGCCAAAGTGATGCAGTTTTGCATTCCCGATTTCTCTTACAGTTACAAAATCATCTTTAATAACAGAAATAAGATATGGCCAGAAAAAGTAAAGGCAATTACTTCACAAGCCAGTCAGGTCAGAGCTGTGTGTATTCTACAATACACTGCTGCTTCTGCTGGTCTGCAGTGATTCCTTTCAAGAGGTACTCATATCTCAGGGAGTTCACTTGATGTTTAAGGAAAAGGAGCCCAGGGTATCTTCTGAAAAGGCCACCTCAGTTTTCAGATCTGGTTCTTTTTGCATCCCTGTGGTTGCTCTGAGCTCAGTTTGAGGGTAGTGTACCATGGTGGAAGGGAACTGAGAAACAGACTGGGAGAACTCTTCAGCTGTCAGGCTTATTTTCTGTTGTGTAAACCTAGTCTGAGATACTGTTCAGGGAGTCCCTTAATCAAACAGATGATCACCTATAGTCTGAAGAGAGATTGTTTAAGTTCAATTTGCAGCTATGTCACCTCTTGAGGAAAGAACCAAAATTTCTTTAAGGAGGTACCAGAGTAACTGGTTGGCTGAAGGTCCATTCAACTCTACTTCAGGGAGTGAACAGAGGGAATTCCAAAGTTTGTTTTCTGACTTGGTATGTTAATGTGCTGCAAATTAAACAGATAAAAGGTTGGTGATAAGCAAAAGAAATCTCAGTGTAGTCCATCATCTCAGGAAACAGTAACTTGTTTAATTTGAAGTAAACATCTCATTGTGTGGATTGTTGAGGTGAAATGTAATGCAAGGTGCTAGTTTAAGTTGACAGAATGAACTGATTTAAATTTCTTTGATCCTCTGCAGGATGGCTGGCTGTGGCGAAATAGATCATTCGATCAACATGCTTCCCACAAACAGGAAGACAAATGAGTCATGTACCAATGCAGCACCTTCCCTGCAAGTCCCTGAATGTGCTATCTGTCTGCAAACGTGTGTCCATCCAGTAAGTCTGCCCTGTAAGCATGTTTTCTGCTATCTGTGTGTTAAGGGCGCTTCTTGGCTTGGGAAACGATGTGCACTCTGCCGGCAGGAGATTCCTGAGGATTTCCTTGACAAACCAACCTTATTGTCACCTGAAGAACTCAAAGCAGCAAGCAGAGGCAATGGAGAATATGCTTGGTACTATGAAGGTAGAAATGGCTGGTGGCAGTACGATGAACGTACCAGCAGAGAGCTGGAAGATGCCTTTTCCAAGGGTAAAAAGAGCACTGAAATGCTAATTGCTGGTTTTTTATACGTGGCCGACCTTGAGAATATGGTTCAGTATAGGAGAAATGAGCATGGACGTCGCAGAAAAATAAAACGGGACATAATAGATATACCAAAGAAGGGAGTGGCTGGGCTGAGGCTGGACTGTGACACCAACACTGTCAACCTGGCACGAGAGAGCTCTGCTGACGGTGCGGACAGCACACTGACTCCAGGGGCTGCAGCTGTGCAGCCTCTAGCAGCCATTTCTGTGAGGCCCCTACCTGCACTGGATGGCCAGCTTGTGAGCCCTTCGACGCCGTCACCTGATGCAAGCAATTCTCTAGAGAACTCTTTTGCCCAGTTGCAAATAAATGGAGACAGTATGGCTGAAAGGAGTCACAGGGGAGAGGGAGAAGAAGACCACGAATCATCATCTTCTGGTAGGGTGCCAGCCCCCGACACCTCTGTGGAGGAGACCGAATCGGATGCCAGCAGTGACAGCGAGGATGTGTCTGCCCACCTTGAGCAACACCTGTCCTCTGGTCAGCAGAGACACTTGAGTGCTGCTGCAAGCCAGGCAGAAGCAGATAGACCAGGGGCAGGGGGTGGGGTGGCAAACACGAGTGTAAGATCTAGAAGGCCAGATGGACAGTGCACAGTCACTGAAGTTTAAATCTAGAGCCATGCAAAAAAAAATACTCAGTTGTAATTTTCTGTAAATTTTCTGTCCCCATTGGCATTGCACTCAAACCTAGCAGCGTGTTTGGTGGGAGGGTGGGGTGAAGGGGAGAAAACAGATTTGGCCTGTTTTAACTTAAGTCTCTTAACATGTCTCAGATGGAAGACTCTTAACTCTAGGAAACTGGGTTGTCCTGTTAATGGTTTGAAAGCTGTTTAGCAATGCCCAGTTTTCTTGAAAATGTCTTGTGTTTATTTTGTAGCATTTTCCCCTTGAAGATACTCTATCCCTTTTTGGCCAATGTATATCTACTGTACAACTTGAATTGTCTTCATTATCTGACTGTTGCATTAAGTGTCTTACTACTTTCTGCATGGATTGATGTATGAAAAGAATACACTAAAGCTATGTGGAATCAGGCAAGGTGTTGGGTGTGAGCAGGATGCTTAATTTAACGTGAGAAAATAGATGTGAGTTTGAAGTTAAAATGTGTTTTTACTAGACAAGAGCAATCATTTACCTTCTTTCAATGGAAATGTAAAAAATGCTGTTAACTTGTGTTGGAAATTCTTACCTTTACACTCTCCATGGCTTTTTCACTGGCTTTGCCATCTAGTCCTTGTAGTTTTGTTTATTGAGATCTTTCTTGATCTGTCTTGTTTTTGTTACAGAATTTATAATTTAATAAAAGTACATTTTATCAGTAACAATCTCAGATACGTTTCCAGTTTAATTGAACTTGAATGAAGGAATTTCAAAGAAAATGATCATAAAGCAGCTTCCCATGTTTACCACAAGGGAGGACTAGTTCTGAGTGGCATCCCTGACTGGCTGTCTCTCAAACACATCGGCTGTAGGTGTCTCATCTTTTACTGAACAATCTTGAGTTGCAAGCTTAATACTCACACAGACATCTGAAGAGCTGATTAACTCACTTCACTGTTGATGGCAGGCAGAATTACCACACACAAGCCTTATTTTAACAGCAGAAATGTTGATAAAAGAGGGTAAGTTATCAAAGTTGACCCTATAACAAAGGACATGGATATTACAGCTGTTCTTCTGTTCATAAAAAAACAGCATGGCGGCAGCACAGGAATTGTAGTTTTGTGCTTGTATTATTAGCAGTGTAGTATTTCAACAGACTTCTGAATGTTAGAAGCCAGACCATGAGAAACTCAGCTTGTCTTTTATCTCTCTGTTCTTTAACAGTTTTTTAACATTTTTTTTCAGACTGACAAACCGCATTAGTTGATTCTGGACTTTATTTTAAAATAAAGCTACTTAAACTCCAATTCTTAGTATCTGTATCTCGGAATAGAAAGGAACAGTAGCTGATACATAGGTACTACTGATCTTAAGACAGAAGTTGCTTTAAGGAAACAACTCTTTGAAGGGAATTAAAAGGCTGACTTTTAAAAATGGTAGATTTACACATCTATAACCTTCTTCTTACTGTAATGATGGATGATGTGTCTGATCTTGGACAAAGTTGTGCTCCTCTTCTGCTGCCTACAGGTGAGATCAGTGGGTCACAAAATGGCAGGTGAGACTAGGATGGAATAAGGAAGATTTCCTCCATTCTCAGTTAAGAATAAATGCTCTTGATCACAGATTTTCACTATAATCTTCCAGTCCCATAAGGAAATATGCCAATTACGTGGACTTCAGGAAGGAAACTGGGTGGAATGCTTTTATCGGTGTTAGTTGCTAGCTGTCTTATTTCTCTGATTTGAGTTAGTATACAGTGGCTCTAACCAAAGTATGACTTTGTACTACAAAAGCCTTCATGAAGAACACTTCAGCTATGTGCACATGCTTCATGTGAGAGTATGGGTTGAAAAAAGCAAGAAAGAAAATAGAGGAACAGGACTCACTATATGCTGTAGGATTTACAGCCCAAACAGTCTACAAATTATTCTATCAGTGATTATCTTGGTTTTTGACCCAAGTAAAGAGTTCAGCCTCACACCCATGATACTGCTTTTGGCTCCTGCTGGCTGACTGCAGCTGTGAAACACTAAAATTACTTAAAGTAAGGCTGGTAGGACTTTAATAGCCAGCCATCAGAGTAGCAAATGCACTCCCCAGATCACGCTAGGGAAAAGTAGCAACTGATAATTCCCATCTTATATTTAAACCATTACTTTCAGTAGGAAATGTGTTCTCTGTCCATTTTAGCAAAGCCAGAGCCACACTGCATTATGTGGTTGACTGTAACTCCAAGCACTAAATGATTTTCAACTTGTGCAGCATAGCCAGAGAAATGCATAGTGGAGCAGAAGGGAAAATGAGAAAGGAAATTTAAATACTATAAAATCTACAGCATTTCATCATTTCCAGAACAGATAACCACAGATACAGGAATCCTATTTCATGGCTAAAAAAAATATAAATCAGATAGAGACCCAAGCATTCTGCAAGAACACCTTGCTTATCTAGACTGACCATCGGGTAAATATATTTTTATCAGCAGCAAATAAGATAGAAGTATCTGTATTGTGAAAAGTGATCTCCATTATCCAACCTTTACAGGCTTGGTGCAGAATCCACACTCCCATTAAACTCTTTGGTTGGCCCAGTACACAGAAGAAAAACAAGACAGACATTTCACAATGTAATAGGAAACTTAGTTTGCTGAGGAGGAAGCTGGCAAATTAGCCCCTAGGAAATACAAAAGCTGGCATGCTATTTAATTAGGGGACTGGGACTATCAATTTTGATGTTTCTAATTCATTTTGCGCATTTAGTGCTTCTTTGTTTTTAAACCATTTCAGAAGGGACAAACACCCCTGAGATGAAGCTTGACATCTTTAACAGTTGTAAAGAAAATACAAACATTTAACAACTGCTGGTTAAAGATATTTGCCACTTTAAAATGATAAGAAAGTGTTCTGTGAAATAAAGCATTTAGCTTTCAAATGGGTAAAATGGGATTCCATTTCATCTCAGTCTGAAACTTTCATCCTAGCACTCATGGTAATTTAGCTGGGCTGGTTTTGTATGAAGGGCTCTACTTACTTTTATAGTAAGAGAATATGGTATAAGACTACTCACAAAATCTTTGATCACAGCCTGTAATGTTCTTCAGAATGTCCTGCACCTATGCTTGGTATATTTATGATACCAGCAATATGGGTTTCCATAACCCTCTCTGGAACCGTTCTGAATGTGTCTTGGTGTGTAATAGTTAATTATTTGTCCTGTTTTCTTAGAAGCAAACATTGGCCTTTGATACAAATCAGAGAGGGTGGCTGGGGAAATACATTTGCTGAAATGAGAATTAAGCTCATTGTCTATAAATCAAAATGGAAAGAGATCCCCCAGAGGTGTACTTACCATTCACTAACTGCCAGCACAGATCTGGTTCAAAATGTGAAAGAAACCAGATTCTGCGTTTGTCCTACAATTTCTTCCCTCTCAAATTTCTATAACTCAGTACACAGAATACACTTAGGAGCCTAATATGCCAGAGAAAAAAAGATTCAAGGGTCTTAGGTTCTAAGTAATTTTCACATCAATTTTAAAAACAATAACAGTATTAGTAGTGGCACATTTGTTCTTGCTAAAAGCAAAGACATAATCAGTTGCCCTTTAAAACTTTTTTTTTGACTCACAACAACATTATGTGCTATTGCTTCAAAAAGTATGGACTGGAGTGTGCCTTGAAGGTTCAGTGATGCTGCTGTCTGGAATCCCTCACGAGTCTTGAGAAACTTCATGAAACACAGAACAGCTTCACTACTAAACAGTCAAGTGCTGCCTGATTATACTAAAGCATTTGCTCTTCTGAGGTAATAGTTTTGAAGTTCTTTAGGGCATGGGAGAGAATCCAGCTACACAGAAGTAACCACTGGGCTACTGGATAAAAAGGATCCAGGGGGAGAAAGGCACAAACTAAAACACTACTCTATTCCCCCTGTTCTCATTCCTGTGTCTTCTCTAACCTGAAAGAAAAATTTGAACTTTATTTTTGGGGAAGAGAGATTTTAAATCTTCATCCATTAGCGCTCCAGATACTAAGGCAAAGATGCAGGATCAACAGGGGGGAGGTAAGTTCCGTATCTTCTCTGAGATGCCAACTCAAAACACATCCCTTTCCTCAGCATTTCTCTTGGTTGCTTCACACTATATTCATTGCTGTGAAAAGCACACAGTAAAACATCCCCAGCAGATCACAGAATCTGCTCAAAACTTACAGAATCTTAACAGGCAATCCAAGCCTAATTCCCAACATTGATTTGTCCCCAAGTCCTCAAACATATGCAGTTACCTCACTGTCTAAAACTCAGGACTCCTGCCACACTAGAAATCGTAACATGGATTTCCATCCAAGATACTGCCTTATTTTCTTAAGGGAGCTTGTTCCATGATCTTGAGCTAGTTATGTCTGGTCAGAGCAAGAAGGCATGTCAGTGGCACAAAGCCCAGAGCTTCCTTCTCTACATGCTTCCACAGAGTACTCAGGTCCTTGGCTCAGATCTCAGTCCCTGCTGGATTTAGAGACAAGTGCATCCTAACCAACAGTACAGGAAACTCTCAGTCACAGATATGTCTGTATGGTTTTGCTCTTACAGATCTTATTTTTAAAGCAGGCACTCTGTGTCAGTTTCTGATTTCTAAAGGGAAAACTTTCCCTACTGAGTTATCCAATTACTTGCATGGTCACTGGCATGAAGGGGAGACTGAGTTTTAAACCTTCTAGTAAGCCCAAATATACCCTACCAATGTAAAAATGCATTGAAGAAAGGCATAGACATATCCACTCACATCTTACCAGAATGCTGAAGAACTCACATCACCCAGTCACCTAAGGACAAACCTTTTTGGGACATGATACATCATTGCCTTCCAAGATTTCAGCCAGATTCTGTGTAAAGAACCAGGCCAGCAGCTTTGCACAGGTACAAGATATGGGAATGTGCAGATGCGTGTGTGGGTAGTTGATTCCTTGAGCAGTGAGAAGACACCAAAATACATTTTAAAGCCTGAATCAGTGATAGCGAATGATTGCTAAAATTTTCTTAGTAACTCAAAGCTTCTCCTGTAAAAGCACCATTAAAATTGAAGGATACTTTCTCAGCAATTGCACAAAGAACTAACCAGAATGAAAAAATAAAAGCTATCCTCCCACTAGTAATCATCTTTTCTAACCTGCTTAAAGACACTGGATGGGGAACTCATTTTGCAGCTTTAGATGCACCTGTTCTGCAAATGAATTAACCTCATATCTTTGAAGTAATTAATTTCCATACTAGTTAAAAATCAAAACAAAACACCAAATAAAATAAATTTCAGCCTCATTCCAAATGAATTGTAGTTCTATTTTCAGCACAGTATTTACCTTTACATAGTAATTTCACTAATCTCGATTCAGTGGGTGATTAGGACAGCAGAGAATCTGCCCGGGATTTCTCTGTGGTTGCACACCAAATATGCCTGCCTGACCTAAATGGCAGGAATGTTAATGCCATTTTAAATAGACAAGTCCTTAAATGATTCAGCTTAACGGCTGCTTTACTGAAAGCTTTGTTTGCAAAAAAGTCAAGCCCATTTCTTATGCATAAACCATCATTTATGTTTTGGTCTTCTCACCAATGCTTCCAAGTTGGCAGGCCCACCCCATACAGTTCCAAAAATGTCCTTCTCTGTCCTTAGGGCATCTTCCAGTGGGAGCTCTCTTGCTGCTGTCACGACCTTTTTCGCGGCCCGAACGACGGCGGCCGGACCGTCAGTGTACTGACTGAGCCAGGCGCGGGCCTCTGCCAGCGCCGCGGCCTCATCCGCGGAGGGCAGGGCGAGCTCGGCGAGCCCCAGCGCCAGCGCCCTCTCGGGGCCCACCCGCTCGGCCCCGGCCAGCAGCTGCAGCGCGGCCCCGCTGCCCACGAGCCGCACCAGCCGCGCACCGCCTCCCCAGCCCGGCACCAGCCCCATGCGCTTGTGGACAAACCGAATCTCGCTGCCAGGCGTCATCAACCTGCCAATGAAGAACACACAGAGGTCAGTCCATGCATGCACTGCCTTTTGTTTTCAGCTCGATAGCCCCTAATTTTCTATTTTCTCCTCCCCCCTGCTTCCAGAGGTAGATACAACTTGACAGCGTGCTCATTACAGCCGCAGCTGGAGTCTCAATTTTTACATCACATGGTGTCCTAACTGCAGCTTTTGGCCCTTCTCAAAATTAGACACACATGCTGCTACAAGTAAAGATTCTTAGTGCCCATACTGATACATCTCGTCAGTTCTAAAAAGTGTTGAAACCAGAGCTGCAGAGGATATGTTACATTTATTCACAGTGCCACACGGCCTTGCTAATTCATCCATAAACCAAACGGGTATTGGTAAAACCCAAGCAAACCAACACACAAAACATTTCTTAAGAGGAAGACGTGGTCTTAGTGCTGATCTGAACTGGGGAGGTTCTGTCAGCACCATGGTGATTACAGCATGGGTGGGGCTTTTTGGTTCTGTATTTTAGAGATCCATGTGAGTTCGATTTCTAATTGCTCATTCATTACAGAAAGGAAAATCAGGATGGATGCTCAACTTGTGTCTCACAGTGCACAACAGAATGGCTTTCTATTTATGTCTGCAGTGTGTAATAGAATTGCTCCCCTCTACAAGGTAAGTAATATTCTTCTTTCCAAAGATGTCATATCTTTCTTTTCTATGCTTCTTTTCTACAGCTCTTCACCTCCTTTACTTAAGAACTCATCCTAGGGCTCATTAGGCTATCTCCCTGGAGGAACTCTGCTGCAGCAGATTGTTCTGTCTTCACACAGTGGTCACACTGACACACGTTAGGTTAATGGAAAAAACCTCTAGAAATAGAAACACATAGAAAAGATGTACAGAAACAGACCAGTGCTTGCTCTTTCTCAAAGTGATGTTCAGCAGCGTGGTTGCTTGCTGCTGATTGTAAGGCAAAGGATGGGAATTACATTTGTGAAGTAGATTAACTTCTACTTCAAGCACTAATTGGCTTTTTGAAGACAAATCTTGTAATACTGATGTCTACACACAAGTCTGTTTCCTAACCATGCAGTTTTTGATAGTGAAAATACCGAGGTGAGCAGCTTTGAAAGGGGAAAGAAAAGGAAAATGCAATTACTTCTAGGAACTCACTGTTCTCACATCTGCTTAGTTATTGTTAATTGTACGTTTGCTTGGTTGCCTCATTGTTAACCAGAGCACCATCAGCATTCATGCCACACTGTACAGCATCAGAACTGAAGAGCTTACGCTTTATCCCAGATCCAGCACAATGCACAAAAGCAACAGCTGACGGGCCAGATTGCATGAAAGCCTTTTTGTAGAGATAGCAGGGGAAGGTTGTGTGACAAAAGGAAGAAAGCAAAGTATTGCAGGGGAGGAAAGGCTTTAAGCTAACATTATCAAGTGCTTCCAGACCCAGCAAATCCCAGGGAGCTCAGGTCTCTTTTCTCAAAAGAATGATTTTGCAAGTATTCCAGAACTCCTTTGCTGGCTCAGCTTACTCTGCAATTTGCTCACACCCAGTGTCTCACTGGAAAAGCACTAATGAAAGCATTATTAAGGGTTTAATTCTAGCTGTGCCGAGCAATGTCAGGCACTAGAAAAGAAAGGGTCATAGGCAGGTGGGCATCTGATGCTAGACAACCTGTAGGACAGCCACCACAGGTCAGGGAGGCCAAGTTGCACTTGTACATTGAATCTGAGATTGCTTCAGACAACGTTTAGTATGTGGGAAGGGCTCTGTTTCCCTGCAGAGTCTTCACCCCCCTCAGAGAAAACGGAACCAAACACAATGAAAGTAAAGTAAACCACTGACAGCTTAATTCACAGAGACTGTGAGGCTGCAGCTTCCAGAACCTCACTGGGATTCACCTCTTCCCACAAGGCTCCTTTGAACAAGCTCCACAGAAAATACTGAGATAAGTGGTAGTCAGTGGAAGGTGTAACTGCAGTATTGGACTGCCTTCAGGCTTATGAAAGGTATTTTTGTTTTTTCAAACTTTTCAACTGTGAATCCCCTCCTGAAGTCACACCACTACAGAAACCACCCATCACACTCTCTGTTAGATTTATCACTCACTTGCAGTCCCCATGCCCCAGGAAGCAATGGAGACCTGAGCTCATGTCTGAAGAGGAGGAAGCAGCTGCCAAGCCAGCCTGGGATCAGCCTCTGAACACCACCAGCTGCAGCCTCGCATACATATTTCCCCTTTTACTGTATGAAAGGAACTGAGTCTACCTTCTGAGACATGACAGATCTGATCTCCCATTAAAAGAATTTATGTAAGAAAAGCACATCAAGCATTACTTAACATAAAGAGGCAGACAGGAAAAAGCTGGAAAGACCAAAGCACTATTGCTGAGCTGTTTTTACCTTATTCAACTAGTACTGGTCCTGCCTGAAACAGAGTAGTAGATGAATACAAAATTAACCCTGATTTCAACACTATGCCTGTTTTTGTCTTTCATATTGAAGGAATTAAAATCTGGGTCCCCTGTATCACAGGGGAAGGTCACATTGCTAAACTCCTACACATATGCCTTCCCTGCCCTAATAAAGAAAATCTGTTGCATGACAGTACTGAAAAAAATATTTATTCAATGTAATTAATGTACAAAGTGGCAGAAGACCTTACAGTAAGCAGGGGAACATCCTTCAGAAATGTGAAGGGTAGGAAAATCCTCACAATTTAAATGGAAATAAGAGGTTAAGGTAATATAAGCCCCAAAGTGCAGCTGAAATCTTCTTTGAGAACCTTTTATTTCCATGTTACAAACCCTACAACCCCCCTAGGAAGAAAGTACAGTCACCATGGGCCACATCCAATTTTGTGTTAGTCATCTAAAGCAAATGAGCTTGTTGCTGCTGTACATTTTAAAATGTTCTCAGCTGCACTAAATGCTACAAACCCTCCCCATTTGATCTGAGGATTCCTCCATTCTGTGACATCTCATCGCACCCACAAACAACTGACTGTCACATCGCATCTCATCACATCACTGGCAATGCACGTGAGAAGAAACCTTGTCATTAACATTGCAGCCTAACAAATCCCCACCCTTATAAAGGTGCACTTGCTCCTCAAAGGCAGCACTTGCTGTGAGCTAACAGCTATGCTGTGCTTTGCTAAAGTATTTCCCAGCTATTTGAAGCCAGAGCATATACAATAAAAGCTGAAAATGCAAGCAAAAATATACTTTCTCAATTTTTCATACCTGCTTATTATAAATAGTAATGTTACTGAGCCGTTCCAATGGGTATAATCAGTTCCTTGGCATAACTAAGATTATATTAAGATCTGTGCTGGCCCTTACATCATCATTTCCTGGACTTGTGTTGGCAGCAACCTGAATTTTGTTCCCATTCCCTGCTTGACTCCCAGTGTCACATAAGGACACAGCTCCTGACTTCCCATCCTCCCCTTTTAGCTGGCGTGGACCGGCACTCCACAGAGGGAGGCAGCTGGCATCACACAGTGCTGCAGCACCTGGTCCCCAGCTATGGCTGTGCTCTGACACGGCAGCCAGAACTGCAGGAGATTACTTTTATCTCCCCCACAAATACTTCAGCATCCTGCTCTCAAACCACCAATATTAATATAAATAACAAACAGAGCTTATGTCTTTGGGTCACAGTAAGTTCCTTCACTAAATCTGCTACCTTCTATACATTTCAGTTATGCCTATCTGCAAGGTGATTGAATCAACACAAAGTGGAAACTTCTCCAAAAACAAGAGTCAAAGGCCTTGGGGTACAATTAAAAGACATCCATTATTCTAGCATGCTGTAGAGTAAAAGTTACAGAAATAATAATAAATCTTCAAGTAGAACTACATATTTTGCCAAACATAGATGCAGGACACCCAGACAGATAAAAAGTAATGTTTATGTTTGGCCATATTTTGGCACAGGGAGATGGGAAGTGGGGGTTACGGTCAGTTCATCAAGTGCTGCTTCTGCCACTGCTCAGGGAGAGGAGTCCTTCCTTGGCTCCAGGGTGGGGCCCCTCACACACAGAGAGTTCTCTGCAAACTTCTCCAGTGTGATTCATTCTTCCACATGATGCCGTTCTTCAAGAGCAGCCTGTTCCAGTGTGGATCCACAAGTCCTACCAGAAAACCTGCTCCAGCATGGGCTCCTCTCTCCACAGGTGTACAGGTGCCTGCAGGACCCTGCTCCAGCATGAGCCTCTCAGAGGTTCACAGCCCTCTCTTAGGGATTCACCTGCTCTGGTCTGGGTCTCCTCCAGGGGCTGCAGGTTGAGCTTTGCATCCCCAGGGTCCTCCATGGGCTACAGGGGCACAGCTGCCTCACCATGGTCTGCAGGGGAGTCAGCTCTGGCACCTGAAGCACCTCCTTCCCTCTTCCTCCTCCTTCTGCACTGACCTTGGTGTCTGCAGGGCAGTTCCTCTGACATGTTCTCACCATGCTCTTCTCTGGCCCCCATTACAACTGTGCAGTAACTTTCCTCTCCTTTTCAGATATGCTATCACAGAGGCATTACTATCATTCCTGTTTGGCTCAGCCTTGGCCAGCAGCATGTCCATCTTGCAGCCAGCTGGCATTGGCTCTACCCAACATGGGGAAAGCCTCTGGCAGCTTCTCACAGAAGTTGTTACCTACAGCTACCCCTGTAGCCCCCCTGCTACCAAAACCAAAATATCACCCAAACCACATGCACAACTATTGCAGACACAGGAAAAGAGAGCTATTAAAGAAAAAAAGGAAACTACCAGGAAAATGGTAACAGAAGGAAGGTTATCAAGAGTCAAACACTTGTTTTAACCAGAAAAGAACAGAAGAACAAAGTTGATGTACAATGCTGCCACACTCTGCCCAACATGTATGCCTTTCTAATACACTCATCAATATGGCATCAGCTTAATTAACTCTTTTTAAATTAAGTAACAGCAGTGTTATGCTGACACATGGCCAAAAGAGCTTTTTAAAATACACACTGCTGGGGAGGGCAAGTTCAAGAG